TCTGGATAGTATTCTTTTCTTTGTTTTTTTGTTTGTTTTTTTTTAATGCAATGTGCTGAATGTCTATAATTTTGTTCAGATGTCTGCAGAACCTGGAAAAGCAATTGCTGCTATTGATGCATAACATACTGCTATTATTGTTCTTTTTATATAAATATAAATATATATATACATATATATATATATAATTTGAATTTTTGGAAACTTTAATGGTCAACTTTGGAAAAAGGTATTCCAATTTACTGTGTTGAGTTGGCATTGTACAGAAATGGACAGCCATATTGATCTAGAAATGTTAATTTATTTTTTTTTCCATTTGTACAGGGGTAACACACTGTATTAAATATGTGAGGTCATATCTACCTGGGTTTGATTATAGAAACTAATAACATATTCTCTAAATAATGAAAATAAAAGAATAAGATAAGACTAAAAGAGCAAGAAGCAATTTAAATATGTTAAGGAACCATTTTCATTTTTAAAATTAAGGATTATTTTAATCTTACATCATTGCCTTTTCTCTTTTACTTTCCTTTTTAGTTTTATTTTAGGATTCCCTATTTTTAATGTTCATACAGAGATTTCTTTAACTGAAATACTGAATAGTTTCTTTGGTGTGAAAAACTATAATAGTACACAGGATCCTAATGAGACAATTAATAATGTGAAATTGGAAGTAAAGGGCTAAAGGTGTAGGGAAAGTGGGAAGGGTGGGGGAAAGGTAATAAGGGAGAGGAAAAAAAATATGAGAAACTGAAAAAATGGAAATAAAGTGTTTGCAAATGGGGAGGGGAGGAGGGGGTGAAGGGAGGGCAGGGACAAGGGGAAAAAATGAGAATCAAGACCTATTATGTAAAGGTACAGAATCCCAATGATGAATGTAACTGCATTGTATACCTAGCTTGTACCAATAAACTCAAAAAAAAAGAAAAAAATGTAAAACAAAAGTTATTGCTAAGCTAAAAATAATCGTAGAAAAGGAATGGCTGGACAAAATAACAAGACTGCGAAGAGAGTTTATTCATCTTGATATTTGATTCAAAAGTAATCTATTAACTTCTGGAAATACTTGGCAGAGAATCTGAAGCAAAAGTTTGTTTATTGTCCAGTGGGTATGGCTGAAGCTTTAAATCCCTTAAAATGGGAATGAAGGGATCTCCAGGTAGACTTTTGTCCACCAGGCATCAGTAATCACTTCCTCTGTTCTCTCAAGAACAGCTTACAGGGCACCATTTTAGCACCTGGGAAAGAAGTGAACCCACCGCAGCAGCAGATGCCATAAGGCATCAGGGCTTCGATTTAGACTGGCTGCCTGGGAGAGGCCAGGAGACTTCTCGCCCTCCCCTCCTCCCCTTCCCTGCTGGTCACACCTATTACATACGCTCCAAAGCGCTTCCGTGGCCACTGGCGGATCCTCTCGTGGTCCCTGGGCCCTCCTCTGACCAGCCTCACAGGGACTGAGACGAGATCTCAGTCCTCCAGCATCTACCCCTCTGAACCTCAGAGACACTATTTCCAACTACGTCTGCCAGTGTCGGGAAAGGCAGCAGAGAGGCTACGAAAGGAAATCAGTGCAGCTGACCACAGGGTTCTGAGCTCAGCTCGCTCGCTCCATCACAGAGCCTTGATTTTTTTTGTGCCTCGATTTCTCTCTGCACAGGACCTGCCTCCGAAGATTATGATGAGATTTAAACAGGAAGATAACATTTCACATGTTTTAAATGGTGCCTAAAATATAAAAGTGCTTAGAAAGTTTAGATACTATTGCTA